AGGAGGAGGAGGAGGAGGAGGAGATGGGGAAAGAGGGGGATGGTATTTGCTGCACGCAATTGTCACTTGGAAAGGGAATGCAGGAGTGCGTGAGCACCTTGACTGACAATTCACGTCAACAAGTAGACTGTGACGAGAGGAGAGGATCGCACATCGGAATGAGTGGTCCACACTCAAGCATACGCAATCCAACTTCTCTCGTCTTTCCTCACTGCATTCCCTTCCATCGTGTCCTCTCGCTTCCTCTCTGTCTGTCTGTCTGTTTCTACGCCTCCTTCTGTGGCAGTAAACAGACCTTCACTTTATGCTGAGTGTTTCCTCCTGTTTCTCGCTCTCCTCACCTCCTCTCACATTACCGCCTTATCACTTTCCTCTTCCTGTCTCCTCCTCTTCCCTCCTCCACCTGCTTCTCCCTCTCCTCCCATTTTCACCTTCTTTCCCTGTCTTGCTGTCTCCCACCACCACCACCACCACCACCACCACCACGTCCACCTCTACCTCGCCATCCTCCTTCTCCTCCTCCACCATCGCGTCTGCGGATCTCTTTTCTTCACTGCCTCCCGTCCTGCATCATCTCCCACCGCGTCTGTCTTCCGATGGTGGGCGATTAGATAATCTCTGCCCTCTGATCAGCGTGGTGAGCGGCTCACCACTCCTGCCTCGCCTCACTGTCAGCGATAGCAAGACAGCAGTGTCGTTGACTGCAGAACGTTGTCTTGGTACACTGATTTGCGCCACCAAGTCAGCAGTGTCCCACCAACCCTACCGATGATGGTCTCCCTTGACGATTGGAAGAGGCAACTTTAGGCTTCCACATGCACCCTCGTTGTCCACCAGTCATGATGGTGATGGTCACATCGCATCTACCCACCTCCTCCATCGTCCCCGCTTCCCTCCCCTTGTCCACCCTCTCGAGGTGAGTAGTACACGTCTTTTGTGTTGCCTTTATGACTGCGTCACTGACGGTGCCACCGACTGCCTTCCGACACATGCAGTGTCTTGTGGGCACATGTGTGGAGGCATGGTAAGGCGAGAAGCACCATGAGGGCACCCAATGAATTTGATACGTCAAACTTGGGGGCAAACCGACACATTCAAATCACTTCATGATGAGTGCATCACTCTCCGACTGCCCACTGACCTCCGATTCTCGCCACTTCCGTCTAAAGGGACCTTTTTTGGAAATTGTTTTTTTAACTTTTCTTTTACCTTCTATCTTATTTTTGATTTTGCACTTTCTCGATGATTGGCTTGACTTTCTGATCCTCTTTTGTCAACTGATATCTTAGTCTGTCGAATCATATGCACGAAAGGGAATGGGAAATTTTCTTTTTGCTCTCCTTTTCTCCGATTTTTTTTTTGCTCTCTGTTTCCTTTCCTTCCTTTTATGTATCGCTTCATCACTCTGACTTGCTCTCTCTGCCTTTCAGTCCATTTCTCTCTAGAGGTATCGGACACCTTTTCATGGTTGTTGATTCCTCTACCCTTTTACTCTCATCTTTCTGCCTCTGCATTTGTAAAAAAAAGTTTATACTTTTTCTTTGCATATACTACTTTAATCTCTCTTGAGTAGATGCTCTGATCCTTCTTGCACTGACTTAAATTTAATCCCTTGGTTTTAATGCTTGCATCTTTATTGCAGCTATGCTTCTCTGTCAGTCTATTGACAGCTTTTACTGTCCTTTCTGCAGTTTTGGTGCTTCCTTTGACTGCACAAATTCTGCAACATTTTGTGCCTCTCGAGAGTTATTGGATGGTGTGTGAGCAGTGCATTTCCCCTTTAAAAAAAGTTACTCCTATAGCCCAATTTCTCTTTTTCGCCTACA